AGTGTGATGCTACCACATATCAAGCAACTATTATGATGTTGTTTTATCACTAGAATTCAAATAAAACACACACACACACACATGCAGAAAAGAATCTGCAAAACCTGGAAAACTTTGATTTGCCCGTTTCATTCTCCTGGTCATGTGTCATTTTTATGTACTGTATGTATGTGAGTTTGTCTATGCATTATATTCATAATGTTTTATGGAGCAACATTGTTCAATTCTGCCAAAACATTTCAGCCACATTTCCATAATTCTATACAGTATATACCCGAGCAGAGACTTCCTATTATTTTCAGAAAAGACAGACTGGAACAGAAAACTGACGAACCATTTTTAGCACGGTCATCTTCCTGCCTGAGGGTTAAACTTTAATGATAATGCTCCGCAGACGGATGAGAAAAACATGTATTAATATGCCACAAAGTTGAGTATGATGAAACAAGTTTGTGTACAAACAGTGAGCCTCACCATCTCCTAAAATTACAGTTTAAAGATGCTGCTGCAGAAAATGTCATGATGTGAATTTTGATTTATTCCTGTCTTAGAAGAGACAGATGTATGTATCAAGTGATGCCAAATCTATATGTAATCTGAAAACTAATTCTGAGTGTTTTGATGCTGCTAAATGTAATTTGATGAACAGTATGATTAGAAAATTCTATTGACTGTGTTGACTAGACCTCAAGCAGATGTGGCCTGGAAGCTATCAGGTTGGCTGGATCAATATCTGCACGCTGAGCTGACAAAGTAGTAAAACTGCATAAACTCCACTTCATTTCTTTAGTAAAGAATTTCACTGTAAACTTAGTGAGTTTAGTTTATACTCATTACTTTTTCTGTTTTCTACCAAAAACAGAAAAAGTAATTCCTCTGTGAATTTGATAACTCTTGAAAAGAAAAAACTATAAGTGATTGCAGCTTAATTGGCCATTTTTAAACCACATTACTACTGCAGTGAGTTACTCATTGTATACACATGCACACACACCTTACTTTGTGTCTTGTTTTCTAAATTCTAATCAAAGATCAAATAAAAGAATATCCAGTCACGGCGTTAGTCAAAAACCATTGCTTTCTAAGCATCCTTTCAGGCTACGAGGAACAACGAGACCAAATGTTAATGAAATCTAACTGAAACAAAACTTTGCTTCCATCTCAAATTCTAAACGTACATGCATGTCGGTGCAGACGGCTCATTTAAGTGATGCACTATAACTCAAATGGTTCCCATAACAGACAGTGTAAAGTGATACAGCCTTACCCTATGCTTTAGATATGGGTTTAATTGCCCAGAATATTAAGTGTTAGATTCCCTCAATTATCAAGTTAACAGCTCGGAAAAGGACAGTAAAGTAGTTAACACACGTTTCAGTACAATCATGCCAAAGGGAAGCTGTTTATCTAAAAGGGGGAAGAGAATGCCTCATTCGGAGAGTAAAACACATGATGTGCATGCCAGTTAAAGTTTTATACCTTAGGTCATGTAGATATGGGCAAGGGTGTCCAGCTGCCAAAATCCACATGAAAGAAGCTCTGAGTTGATAAAAATGTTTATATGCTCATTTGAGTCGCCTTCAGTAAATACACCTCTTTTACAGCAATTAAGCTTTTGACCAACAAGTCATTTGGTAACTTTTTTGCCTCCCAAGCTACATAAAAGCTGTACTTTTTTTCTTGGTGGAGGTTATTGGGGCTGAAAAAACTACTTCCACCTCTTCTGAATGTTTTTCAAGAAAAAAAGAAAATCTAACATTTAATCAATTATTATTTATAATAAATAGTCTTCTATTTACCACAGTAAGGTTACAAATACAACCGTATTAATTAGTGGGTCTCAGTATCAGGTCTCAGCCAGAAAGCTAAATGGGATTTTAAGTAATAATGCAGAAATTTACATAGTATTATTCATCTATTTATTTTGGTTGCATGTGAAACAATTTCATCATAATTGTCTTTCTAGATTAATATACATGTATATAAATGCAGAAAAACAAAAAAACTTGTGAAATCAAACATACTACCTTAGATATGAGTTAGGCATTAAGGAAAGATTAAAAACAATGGAGACTGAAGTATGTGTGAGTGTTAATGTTAGACTGGCTTTTCAGCTATTGATGTTAAGTCATAAAAGCACATTTAAATGACACTTTCAACTAACTTCTGTACATGTATGGAACAAGAAGGCCAATAAACCCATTGAAGCTCCACTGCTGCTTCCTCTGTAACTTCTGTAAGTCTTCCTTCTAACATCTTACAGTGTACGTCTGAATTTGCGCAGGAACACTGATCATCTGTAAAATAAAAAGTCATCTTAAATTCTGGTTCTTTTCTACATTAATAGCTGACATTTTGATTGTGAAGTTTGCAGTGTATGTGTCCTAAAATTGACACACAAAAGCTGGGCCAGCTTGGAGCTTGTTTCTTGAATATAACAGTAGATGAATCTGTGCTTGTAGCATTTATCTATGTGGGTTACAGTGTTCACACCACGTGACACTGAATCCAACATCCCATAATAACTACAGAACATGTGTATAAAACATGCAATACACAGCATATTAATTATGTTTCCATTTGTCCAACTCTGCCACAGTGAAAACTAAAGTGCTGTTTACAATCAGACCAACAAGCATGCATGCAGCACACAAACATTCAATAGTTAAGCACATGCTTAGTGTATACAAGATGCTCTTGCGTGATGTTTTATTTATGGTAGCAGAAGTATATCCAATCATGAGCTATCATATTTCTCCATAAGTCTCCTGTGCAGGTCTGGCTTGGCCTAGATAACAGGAAACCTGCCTGGAGGGGAGACACAACACCGCAGGACGTAATAGAAGCTATCATAATGCTTAGCGCGAGAGATGTCCAGGGGCTCGTACTGTGGCAGAGTGGCAGAAACACCTCTCAACTATGGGTGTGAAGACATGTGGATGTGCCGTAATGCTGTGATTCAAGGTTTGAAAGGCAAGATTTTAAACGTGTGGACCAATCAAAATCTACTTGCTCAGTTTTCACTGACATGTTGCCAACTGACTGCTATTTACAAAGCTAAAAATGTTTTTTAAAAGCCTCAGTTTGATTGGATTTAGCAAATGTTTGAGCCCCCTTGTGCAGAGATAAACAGGTGTGTTGCCTTGAGGAAGTTGTTGAAAACATCATCTAGACACAATGTGATGCTGTGTTTGTTTGAGGATGAAACATAAAGGCCTTGAAACTGAATGTCATTCTTTCTATTGGTGACTTAGTGTAAGACTTAAATGTGTAAATTGTTGACAACTTCTTTTTGGGAAAGAATCAGATTTAATTCAATCTAACCATGAGAAAAATATGAGAATCGGTGATGCATTGAATCATTGCAGCAGAATCAAATTCAGTTGCACTGAATTGTCACAACCTTCCTCTTAATAACTGACTCGCTGATAAATTCACACCTTGAACCTGCTTACTGACAGCTCTGTCTCTAAGGGGCCTGTGATACAATTAAAAAACTGAATACAAAGTCTCTAAGAGATACCTTCCTGATTGAACCTCACATACTGTTTCTAAATTGCCCGACAACTTAAAAACCAATAAAATCTCCCTGTGGCTCTTTATCTACATCTGCTTTATGGGCTGTATAGATTTAACAGGGGACAGGCAAATCAATACATGATAACAGCTTTTCAATACATGATAAAATGTATATCTTAATTGCTCTAATTAGTTTGCCTCATTAAAAATGTATGTTTGCCAACCTGGTTCTGCATTTAATATTTATCATCACCCCATTCCACCATATTAAATTAGACTGATTCTGATCTACCATGTCAGCTCTATTGTCAGACATAACGGGCCACTCTCATATGTTTTATACCTCTATTAGCCTATTGCACTGATAAAACCTGTGTTCTGTTAAACTGGATACAAATGGATCGAAACGATTGGTGAGATCTGATGCACAAGCTGAGCCAACAAAAAAGCCAGCAATTGCAGAGAAACGGTTTACATTAGTCCAGGGATAGTCCAGAAGAAGTCGCATGTGGATTTCTGTAGCCTACCAGTACTTTTTGACTACGGACTCATCTCCCAAACTACATTTAGGGAAGATTCATGGACAGACAGTGATGTTACAGTAGCTCAAAGCCTACTCAGAAAATGCACACAGCAGTATTGTAACCTGCAAAAAAACTAATTCCAGTAACTAGTAACAAAGCCAGTCCCTCTTCTGAGACTACATGACATCTATTTACTCATGTTTGCATTTCCTGCAGCACGCCAGTAATCTAAAGTAAAACCTGCTTCTGGAAGGATTAATTCACTCTAAGTCCTCTTTTAGTCCTGTCAGTGGCTCTATTCATTCCCTGCAAAAATCAGATATGACAAATCCAAGAGTATTTATGAATCTAGGCCCACAAAAGCCGATTTGAGTTCGTTCAGCAATACAGAGGGCACTCAAGTGTAGCGCTACTTTGCCCATGACATACTGTTGTGCAAACTGTGGTTGATCCTAATTATTCCCCCACCTTGGCAGCATAGCCTACTGCAGTTTAAAGAAACGCCCGCTGCAGCAAAGGAAACTGTTATTTCTGCCCCTCCAAGTCGATATTTGGATGGAGTTTTGAGTTGTATCTGTGGGAGATCATTACAATCGTTACAGTGCATCCTTCCGAGGGACCTGAATGCAGCTACTTACATTTTATTCCTCAGCTCGGCGTGAAGATTGTTGAACTCAAAACAAAGAAAACATTGTGATCAAACGACCTGCGTGTGATTTCCAATCCTTGTTCTTGAATTGTTGATCGCGTCACTTGTTTTTTTTTTTTTAAATGAACATTAAAGCCAGATCGATCAGATCAGGTAACCTTCAGATAACATTGATAAAGAAAGCCTTCTCTAATAATCAATTTGGCCAGCCTTACAAAATAACACGTCAGCCACAGGTGCATATTTCTGTCACCTTATTCTTTATTGTAAATACAGAAACGTGTCACTTATCCACTCTTATCATATACCTGCAAAAGGGAAAATGTCTGTTCATCCTCGTTGACACAGAAAACAAAAACGCATTGAACTGCCCCAAGAATCAAAACTCCCCTCGTCCACCCAGCATCATCTAGTCAAAAAATGATAACATCCAAAAATACTTGACACTGCCACCAGCAAAAGTATAATGAAATCGAAAAAAGAGAGAAACACAAAAACAACAAACCTGTGAGCTCAGCTGCAAGAAAAGTATCACGTTAAAACGTCATCAGGCTTTAAAAAGGACTCCTTTTTATAAAGAAAAGAGGAACAAAGTAAAAGCAAAGGGTTTGATCGGTGTGATTCACCGAGACATCAAAATCACAAAACTCGAAGGCAACAAACAACACTGCAAAATGCAAACCAAAGCATAGCAACAGCAAAAGTCGACAGAAACAAAAAAATAAAAATGTTTCAAAACCACCTATAAATGTTTGAAAAATCTCAATACTGACAAAAGCTGCTTGGTTTCGACCCTCGAAACAAAACTGCAAGCAAGTAAAGGCTTTCTCAAGACCGATATCGCACCCGTTTACCCTCTTGGCACTCTCGATCAGAATAACTGCATGCTAAAAACTTGAAGCCTGGTTGTGAAAAACGCTCAAAACCACCATGTCAATGCTCAAATTCAAACACCAGCAAAAGGAGGAAAAATAAAAAAGGGGGCAATTAAAAAGACAAAAAATGCTTACAAAAAAGCCATTGGAAATGTACTCACCGAGCGGGAGTAAAATGTTGCAATAAAAATGTGATATGGCTCAAAATACAGTATGGCGGTGCAAGCCGAAATGCTGTGCCTTTTCTCTAGATCTCTGCCTCCAGTTCTGTCATGTGACAGATTCAGCCCCGACTTCCAGCAATGAGAGACCAGTGTTGAACAGCTGATGCTGAATGCTCTCCTAACGGCTTGGCTCTCTCCAAAAGTAAAAAGAGGTAGTCCTTATCATCTCACAGTTATGACTGAGCTGGTTGTGTGTTTCCCCTGGCTTTTTTTTTCTATTTTAAAGATGCAGAGCTCACTGGGTGTCAGCGCCACGGCGGCATCCAGACATGCGTTCATTCCACACAGTTGAAGCACGGGCTGTTATACACTGCGTGTGTCTATTCTCTTGTGATAAATGAAGGGATAGGCGTGCGGGTTATTACAGTCGGGGTGGTCAACGTATGCACGTGTAGCACATTATTCTAATAGCACGCTGTTCCGTCCACGGTGCTGAGACTGAGACAGTGTAGCACATGCAGGACAAACAAACATGGCATACACGTCAGATCATACCGGCTCCTGTCCAAGGTGCTGATATTTGGCGAATCTGACAACAGGCAACAGTATCATAATCAGTCCAGCCCTGTCCATGGTACTGAAACAGAATCTAGTACAGTGAGGAAAAGCAAAAAGTATCATACTAAAATTATCACCCAGGTCTGTCCATGGTGCTGAAACAGAATCTAGTACAGTGAGGAAAAGCAAAAAGTATCATACTAAAATTATCACCCAGGTCTGTCCATGGTGCTGAAATAATGCAATGTCCTTTGGAACAAACAATAGTAACAATAGCAGTGTTCTAATTACAACTATTTAATAGTAGTTAATTACAACTATGTCCTACTACAATTAAAAAACAGATTTTTTTGTATTTAATGGGCTGTTGATGGAGACTATCTTCCATTGATGCATTGCAGAAAGAAAATGGCTGGTAAAACAGTTCTGTGATTCAGAAAATAAACATTTAACAGTTCTGTTAAATCTCTGGAAAAACATTTTGCTCTCTGTTAGTGAAGTTTATTAATTCTGAAGTCGCAGTTTGTTTGTGCGTTAGTATGTAGTGTGCAATCGAAGATACAGCTATACTTTTAATAATACGCAGTTCTGTCCTTGGTGCTGAAACTGAAATGTAGCACATCTAGGACAAAAAAACAAACAAACAAACAACAACAACAACAACAACAACAATGTCATATCACCCAGCCCTGTCCATGGTGCTGAAACAGAGGAAGTGCAGAACATTGAAGAGAAACCGTGGTTTTACCACCAAATATGGTTCTGGGACTGAGTGAGTAAAGACATATTTAGAACAAACAAACAAAGAAAATAGTCTCAACAACCCCCAAACAAACAATACCAATAAATTATTATTTTATTCACTACACACTGTAATGTTGATTCTACGTAGAGGACAATAAAATGTGTCAGACAGATAAAAAAAAAAAACATCTGACACTTCACAATGCTCGTTTTTTAGTTATTGACCATTGATTGTATTATACACGTTGCATTATGGAATAGTTTGAGTCCACAGTATCAGATATAATTTTTTCTCAGCACGAAAACATGCTGAACATTCTATAAATTGGAATTTAATAGTGAATAGTAATTGATTTTAGACACAGACATGAAAAAAGGAGGTTTGGATTGTAAACTGCATAAAAGAAGTGGACGTAGCCACCATGACATCCCCTATTGTTTTGTGGTCTATAATATTTTGAAGACTTTCAGCATTTTGGCCATCACCATCTTGTTTTTTTCGGAACCAGAATTGACCATATTCAGACAGGAGGGTGGAGCTAGCTAGCTTGGTTAGTAAGGTGCATCCATATTTCATATTAACTGATATTAATTGGGACGCTGATCAAGACGTAAAGGCAACCTAAATATTACAGTTAACTTTCATGAACTAAAAACACACTGTAAATGGAAGTGATTCGCCTCTATCCTGATTGACAGTAGCAACTTGTCAATCACAAGGTAGCCCTAAAGCATACCCCGCTTTATCATCTGTTTAATTATAAATGGGACCATAATTTACTAAATGAACATCACACTGTATTGAAGAACACTTGAAACTACAGATTGAGACCATAAATGCATTAGGAAAGTGTTTACTGGGATAAATCAAGTGAGAAGTAGGGTCATTTTGTCATAGACTACAATGCAACCTGACTTCTTTTTTGTAACCAGTGGAGTCGCCCCCTGCTGGCCATTAGAAAGAATGCAGGTTTAAGGCACTTCTGCAGTGGCTTCACTTCTCAGACCCGGAGGTTCCCGCTTAGTTTGGACACAAGCACATTTAGGACAAAAAAACAGAATTAGCCCTGTCCATGGTTCTGAAAGTGAAAGAATGCGTTTTATTATTTAAAACAGTATCATACTCGTAATCTTGTCCAGCTTTGTCCATTGTGCTAAAACTGGGTGACTTGTCTATACTCACTGTGCCTAAACCCTGTTCAGGCATCATAGATAGAGACATCGCATATTTTCATTTACAGCCAAGACCCCAAAGAGGTGACTCTCAGGGTAGGTTTTAACAGCATTTTGGATTCATAGCATTTACCTGCAAAAACCCAATCTCTCTCTCTCTCGCTCTCATTTGTTAAATACATACACCTGAGAAATGTAGTTTATTGCTGATTGTGCTAGACAGGAAAGTAATAATGTGTTATTGATGCATTAGCATCTGACTGCAGTTGTCAGACAAAATTCATGTAACACACAGCGCTGTAGACAACTGTCACGATTCATTCATCATAACTGTGGTTGGTGCACTGTTTCCACCTTAAGCACTGTCTAATTTAATTTTCTTTTCATATCACATCCAAGCCTTTGGGAGGTACAATGTAAAATGCTTTACAGCCACCAAAGAATACATTGGGTGTCCAAGAACAATGATCAAACTTTCCTTGAAGCAAAATCTAGCAGCTTCTCACCGAGTGTGTTTACCTTTGCTTTCATTCACTCATCAGAGCCTGTTAAATGGCTTTGGTAACATACTGTACTGCACTGTTTTTTGGATCTCATTCAGTGTCATTTGTCAACAGCGTAATAACACATTTGTATTTGTGCCTATAAACTCAACTAGACGGTCAGCGTGTTGCCGTGCAGGACATATCAGACCGTAATTATCAACGCCCTAGGGGTGTTAATGACCTAACTTACTGTCAATGTGGTGATTCAGATTTGGATAGCAAATAGTTAGAGATAGGCGCCAACACGTGGGAAGATCATAGGTGACAAAGAAAATGATGCAATTAAACCACAGCCAGCATAATTCCTTGTAATCCAATACCACACTCTATAATAAACTATGACTGATGCATGACATTATTATTGACAAACATTCATTTGGCTTGAAATCAAGCTTTCTCCCAGTTTAATGCTGCATAACCTTTAATGGATGCTGTAGAAGATATACAGGTAAATATAGAATTTACGTCTCACTCGACGTGATTTATACATATGTGACCATAAACATGGGAGATACTGTCATGTTTATTGCGATATACACTCAGGTTTCAGGTCTGTGCTGTTTATCAGCCATGCTGGTGCATCAAAAAGAGACTCACAAGGTTAAAGGAATGCCCTTTATGAATATCTGAAATAAGAAATATCAATCATATCAACCTTTTAACATGGTCGGGTTCTTGTATACGCTCAGCAGGCCCTGCAGGTCAAAGACACAACGAAAACACACATTTTCCATTTGTGTACTAACCTGAATCTCAGTGTATTTTGCCATCGGTAGTTTTACAAATTAAATAAGGTCTGAAGCTAAACTGAATCATAATTCATTGCCTATTCCCCATTAGTATAGCACAGTGCAAGGACCGCTTATTGCCTTTGGCCATAAAGAGCCAATCAGAAGCAAAGCTCAAAACATGTGGGCTTTTGGGCCTTTCCACACATCCAGGTGCTTCCTCTGGAGGTGTATTAATCAATATTTGTTAGTACATTATTTATTGGCTGGAACCAAGAGCAACACGTACCAACATAGAAAAGAAAGAAAAAAAAACTTTAGAAAATAATTATTTTCACTGGGATTCAGTTATACAGCTATCTCTTGTGATCCTAAGGTCATATATGAATGACCAATGTCCATGTACTATCTCAGTAATAAATCTCAAAATACCCTCTGTCAAGGTATATAATAATCTGAAGAAGAATATATAACACAATCCTCTTTTCCTGCTTTGTATATTAAATTGGATCAACTTTCTGTAATGTAATGGATGCTCATCCCCACACAGCTGAGGCCCACTTCAACGTGTGATGGTAGTGCACAGGATACTATTGCAATACAAAAAAAACAACAACAACAAAAAAACTATAGACTGAATGAATTTCTTTTATTAAAGCAATGAGCGATTTGTATTCTTTAATTACCATTTTGTCAAGGAGTCTGCAGAAATTGTGTGGGATATTTTAATCATAAATAAATGGAGTGTGCACACACAACTGTAAGGGGATTTAATGCTCATTACAATAAATGGGTTAAATTTACAAATCTAGAGCTTGAGGTGGAAGGATTATATAAAATAATTCAAAATGAAAATATACTTGAAAGCCTTTTTGCATAGCCAGTGTTTGCTAATATCAGCACTGGAATACGGGTTTAGTCAAATCATTGCAGGGGAGGCTCTTTTCACCATTATGCACATTCTAAAGGGTGGAGATGTGCTTGTGTGGGCTGGGACAACCAATGCATTTTAGGTATCACACTCAATTGAATGGATCTCCCATGTGTTTATGTGGCACCATCATTTTGATTCTTTCTTTTTGTCCCTGTCAGGGACGGCTGCACTCTGCCCAAGCTGACTGACCCACAGTAGCCTGTGGGGACGTAGGATAAGCTTACTGGCATGAATAGCAGTGAATCCTCATGCTTGCTTCTTAGAGGTCTTGTAGATATGTATATTAAAAAACCCATCTGGTACCATGTAAAACCAACTATTTAATTTTTAAGAGCTAACAAAGAAGTATTTGATACTGTGTATTATGTCCATTTTCTCTGCAAAAGACATTGTTACTGGTGGAGCAGGCCAGTCCCGTATTTTGATTCAAATTGAGTTCACATACACGGGGGATTCACAAGAGACGATGCAACATGTGATGTATAGCGTTTTACTGTTTACAG